GGCTGCCTGACTGTGTACTTCCGGTTCCAAATGAGATGTGTGGTTCACTGGTCAGTACATAACTCTGGTGTTCGTAACTCTGAGGTTCTGCTATAATCATTATATATATATGATAATAGCACCCTAGTCAAATCAAGGTCTCAATGTGTTGGGTGTTGTACATACCCCAAATAAGAGGTAGTTTACAATCCAAATACCTACACAGCTTACAATCTAAATTCACAAAGGGTGGGAGAAAGGAAGTATCATTATTCCCATTTTACAGAGGCCAACTGAGGCACAGAGAGAATAAATGACTTGCCCAAGGTCACACAGGAAGCGAACTCTAACCTGAATTCCAGTCTGTTGACGTAACCATCCTTTATCCACGTGACTCACGCATTGCACTGAATTAAAATGGGGGCTTTTATTAAAAAGCAAAGATGTGTTTGTGTTCCTATCTGATCGACCGTACTATATATTATAAACAACATTAACATATTAAAACAAGACAGAGGGAGATGCCGTGGTTACTGCCCAGCTATAACACATGGTGTCATGCATAGTCATAGACAGGATATGAAACCCAGCTAAAAATTCCTTTTTTTTTTTTTTAAAGTCACGTGAACACAGTTAACCATGTGAAGGGAAGTTCAGAGCCACCGTGTAAACACTCAGAATGGAGTGAGCTGGAATTATACGTCTGATCTGTGCAGTATTTGGTGTCCGTCTAATGAAGAGTTGAAACAATTACACGTGACATACTTCCGTAAGGACGTACAGTGGGTAAAAGGGCTTTACAGAGATTTATTAAGATTCCACCCCTGTGCGGGGATCAGGGCTGCTTTAAAGCTGCCATGACATGTTCAGTGGAAATATGGAACTGCCAAAAGTCAGCAGGAGAGGACGAGTATAAATGTCCCAGGCCCGGTCTGCACAGCGGTTGGGTACCAGCGTAAGGGCGAGGGGTGTGATTTCGTGTTTAAAACCAAAAGAGTTAAATCAGTCCAAACCCTAGCATGGTTATGGAGGTATAAAGGCACCTCATACTGGTAACGCTTATTCCCCTTAATGCATGGGAGCGGTTATAAAAAGGATTTTTATATGCTGCTATAGCTGCATCCATGTTAAGGGGCAGTATCACTTCAACTCTAGCACACACTGAAACTTCGCTCTTGTTAGCCCCTCGCGGAACAGGGGTCTCTGACTCCTGGCGTAGCACGTGCAGAACCACCATGGGGCCCGCACTTTGGCACCCTGTGCAATAGCGCTCGGGCTCACTGATATGCACGTCTCCTGGGGAACGGACGGGCAATTCAACCTACTGCGCACCCCCTCGCCTCCCCGAGCCTAATAGGGGCGCATGCAAGCCGGGCCCCATAGCCGGCCCCTGAGGGTTTTCAGAAGTGGGAGGGGGGAGGCAAGTCACCCCCCCAATCATTACATCTTTCAGAAGCAGGGACAAAACGCCTGGCGCTTTGCAGCGCTTTGCCATTTGCAAGCGCTAGAGACGCGAGGCGATTAATAAACTCGCTGCACGGGAGGGATCGGGGCGCGGGGGGGGGGGGAGGGAGTAGCCCCCCCCGGCAGGAGAGAGGCGCCCTCAGGGTAGAGCTTGGAAGCCAGCGGACAAAGGAAGCAGCCGCGTCTCCCTGCCGCTGGGCCCGTGGCTGTGCCCTGGCGAGCGCCGGCGGGAGCCTGGCACGGCTGCCAAGGGGGTGCCCGCAGCCCCGCCCCGCCGGGGACACATGGGTGCGCCAGTCCCTCCCCCCCAGGTCGCCGCTGGGGGAGTCTCACCTGCTGCGGGCTCGCGCCATTTTCCCGGGCGGCTGAGCCAGCGGCGAGGCGGGGCGCGCGGGGCATGCTGGAGCTTGGAGTCCTTCCCGGCGGCCGCCGCCTGTTGCTGGGGGGGGGGCTGTGGGAAACTACCAATCCCGCGGGGTGGCGCTGCCGGCTGGGCGCGGGAACTACAAGTACCAGGGGGCTGTGCGGCTGCAGGCGCCAGCTGCTCTATGAGCGAGGGGGGGTTAGCTGGAAGCGAGGCAGGGGGATAAGTAGCGGGGGGGCGCTGCACAGGGGGCTGCACATTGTGGGGTGTGCATGACTCACTCTGGGGGTGGTGGGTTCCCCCAGGCTAAGGGGGAGGGGTTTCTAGTTTTAAGGGGTGCAGGGGGAAGGATTGGGGGGAGCGTGTGTTTGTTTGTGTTGGGGAGAATGCACAACTCTTGCACTTTAAAAGAGAGCCTGGCCTGCCAAGGTGCCTACATTTCTAGGGACATGCCTCGCCTCCACGGTCCCCCTCCAGGCCCAGTTCTAAACAAGCCTCTGGAGAGAAGCATGCAGGCCCACTGCAAATCCCTGACACAATAGATCAGGAGGGCAGGTAGAAATGAAGGGGAAAGATTGGGGTGGAGAAAGAAAGAAAACATGCTGGAGGTGGAGACAGGAAGAGAGGGGGCAGTTCAGGTTTGTTTACACACACAACTTTACAGAGCGATTTAGTTCAAGGGCTGCAGACACATTTATTGATTTAAAGCGGGTTATATCTGTTTAACTTGCACCTGTAAATTTACTGACACAAGACAAGGCCCCAATAGTAAGAACATAACAGCCATCCTAGGTCAGAGACCAATGGTCCATCTAGCCCGGTATTCTGTCTCTAACAGTGCCAGATACTTAAGAGGGAATGACTAGAACAGGGCAATTATCAAGTGATCCATCCCCAGGCATCCAGTTCCAGTGTCCAGCAGTCAGAGGTTTAGAGAGCCCCAGCCCATAGGGTTGCATCCCTGGCCACCTTGGCTAATAGCCATTGATGGACCTATCCTCCAGGAACTTATCTAATTCTGTTTTGAGCCCAGTTATTCATTTGGCCTACACAACATCCCCTGGCAACAAGTGCCACAGGTTGACTGTGCATTGGGTGAAGAGGTACTTCCTTTTGTTTTAAACCAGTGTTTGGACTCTGAACTCAGCCAAGGGGAGGTTTCACCCACACAGGCTGTTGGAAATACTAGTGGAGGGCCAGAGAAGAACATGCAAGGGTCTAGGAATGGGCTATCAGGCCATCCCTAGCCAAACACCAGGGAGTTTTCAGGGGGTTGTCTGCCCACCCCATCCACAGCCCATTTTATACTATAATGACCCTAGCTCCAAAGTTCTGTGCATCTCCATGGGGGAACATGCACACAGTGATCGACTGGCTCTGCCCCACCATTGCCTCAAGGAAACGGGGGGATGGAGCACGTTCAGGATCCAAGTCTCTGAGCCTGCTCCTCCTTCCCCAAGCAGCAGCAATAGATTGCCATTAAGGGGCTATAACACTTGAAGGGTGGTATACCACATTAAGGGGCTATACCACTGTAGATTAAGGGGCTATACGGTTGTGTACAGCGCCTAGCACTATGGGCGCCTAGGCCCTACGCTAATACAGATAAATGAAAGCAGGGACATAGACCCAGATCAGCTGAGATTCCCTCCCTCCAGAGTATTTCACATGGGTCTGCTCACTTCCCACCCCTTTTCCTTCTTGTCCACGCAGTCTGTCTGCTCCTCCTATACCATCACTTCTCTACCCGCCTGGCCAGTCGCACCCCCATTTCAACTCCTCCCCCCCCCCCAATTGCTAGGCTCCCAATAACATTCTCCACACCCCTCACACAATAGGGTCTGCTCCCCCCCACATTTCCCCCACCCCTTCATTTGATCCCACCAGTAAGTTTCCTACATGAACCCCATTCCAGTTTTTCCCCTCCTCCCGCATTTTCCCTCCAGACCTGCCCCTCTCCCCACAATACCAGTTCCCCATTCTTACCTGGGCCTATCTACCAGCTGGAGAATGAAGCAGTCGGTCCCAGAGCTCTCCTGTCTGGTGGGCTGCTCCTGAGGAGCGGGGCAGGTGCCATGATGGGGGGGTGGGTGCAGTGACCGCAGGGGGTACAGAGGTCTGGCAGCCCTGGGTAGGTCTGGCTAACAGAATGGTGCCATGTCACAGGTTCTATTGCCTTTTTCAAAACCACCCTGAGATTGGTAGCATTACATACTTCCTGGATTGGCCAGTCCCCATCTACTCACCGGCCTGGCACTGGCGTGGATGTATGCATGGGGAGTGTGTGCATTGGATTTATCTCAACAGTCTGTTTCACCCACTCTGCATCCATGAAGCCTAAGCAGAAAAGATCTCTCAGTCCAGGGCGATAGTATCTTTTCTGGGGAGGCCTCTCCCCCAGGACTCCAGGGCCAGCAACTTGGTAGCTTGTCTCCAGTAGACTCAGTGCAGATGAGGATGCTCTTAGCTTCACTTAGGGTTCTTAATTTTCAAAGGGGGGGTGGGAGGTGAGAATGAACAAGCAGGCAGACTCTCAGACTTCTGACATTCATGGCCAAAAATGGAAAGACACCCTCTGACATTCAGAATGTGAGTACCAATACATACACTGCTGTCTTGGTTGTGGTCTCTTGAAGCAAATGATGACCCAAGATTTAGTAAGAAAAATACTTCTCTGATCAATAGGTCTTGATATTCATCTAAACATTGATATCTGCTTTTTCTCCCCCATCTTACAGTTGGGGAAATCAAGGCAAGGAATATGTAAGTGCCTTGCCTCTTGAAGATGATGGATGGATTGCAGTGGATTAACAACAAAAATGCACCCCTTACCCAACAAAACCCCATCGCCAGCAATACAAGAGGTTATAGAAAATAGCAGGGTGATAATGGAGTTAAAAGACTGGATCCACACCTGGGTTCAATCCTGGCTCAGACACAGACTCTCTCTGTGACTTTGAGAAAAGAACTTCGTCTCACAACCCCCCACATTTATAAAAGGAGAACAAAGATAGTCCCTTTGTCAAATCTGTTTGGACTGTAGGCTCTTTATAAGGCTCCCTCTTTCTTTGTATATGTGCAGTACCTAACATAATGGGGTTTGAGCTCGGTTAGGGCCTCTAGTCAGTGCAATGATACAAAACAATAGACAATAAAAATACCATCTCAGGAACTGTGTTGAGCCAAACCACGAACAAATAATTTTAATGGTTTTCAGCAGACCCATAGTAGGAGCTCCACTGTCTCATCTCGCTGAAGTTGGACAGATACAGTAAACACAACAAATATATGATACAACCCATCACAGCTGGATTAAAAAAATACACAAAAAATATAATACATAAAAAATGGTTTTACATTGTGGACTGACAGCTCTACAAATGGTGACCGTAACCCTGGTAAGCTTTACAAAGTCTTTAAAAAAATAAAACAGTACTTCATGTGAAATTCATAAATATAGTGGGGGCGGAAGAAAGGAAGGGGCTTGGTTATTGATTAAGAGTCTCTGGGTACCTGTTTAAGTCCCATTACGGGAGAGCCAAGCACTTGGCATCTCTGCTGCTGTCCCTTAGGGGTGAGCGGCAGCCGGGCTAACGGGCAGCACGTGCATGTGTATTTGTGTCCGCAAACCAGAGGTCAGAGGGTGTGTGAGAACAGCCAGGGAACTAGGCAGCGGATCTACTGCATGATGCTCTGAGATTACAAGGGAGGGAGGGATGCAGATGAAGGGCTAAGAAACATAAAACAGTCCAGTTTAAGAAGAGATTCTTTCAAATGGGGCTCTCGCCCAGTGCGGGAGCAGGGCAAAAACAAAGGCAGGGCGGGGTTGTGTTGGGTTTTTATAAAGCCCAACTCGGCTAGCAGAGCAAACTCCCCCCACCCTCCCCTCGGCGAGGGGACAGGAGCCTGCCTCAGGAGTGTATACAGCGCCCTCTCTCGAGAAGGCAGGTTTAGGAAGGGGAAGAGCAGGGGGGCATTGTTGTGTGTCCGCATGCTGATGGGAATGCTTGGAAAAGGGGGGGGTTGAACCTCAATTCCCAGAGTTTTAGATCTGCGAGTGAAACAAACAAACGTGCTACATATAATTAACCCAGCCAGGTCTCCCCACCACTGGAACACGGGCACAGAAAGGGAGAGTTGCCTGGGACTACGGGGATTCAGGATTCTCCCCCTCCCAGACTGCACAGACGGCAGCTCCCCACCTCCTCTTCCCACTAGAGCTACTCCAGCTGTTCCCTACCCCACAGCTAGAGGTGGGCTGAAGCATCCAGACATCAGTGCGCTCGGCCTTCGAGAATCAGCCACCGATGACCGAGTCTTCCGAGGAAAGAAGCTTGTGCCACTCTGGGGGACAGCTACTCTCCCAGCACTATCACCACCACCACCCACGCCAAGGGGAACAAGGAGCCTGGGACATTTGCTCTACCCACCCAAGGGGACTGGGGACCAAGGCTCAGAATACTCAGGGGTGGAGGGATGGCAGTCCTGGGAGTCTCCACGCGCCTTCGCTCTCAATTCCATGTACCGTCAGTCCTTGGAACTTCAGCGCCTGCTGTTTGCTCCCCAGCACCGCCGTGTATTCTCTGCAGTAAGGTATGTTTCCTGAGCTAGTGCCCTGGGCTTTGCCGTATTACTGCTCTGGTTCCGACAGGCCGCCCCGTCAAGGGTCCCAGCGGCTCCTCAGGCTCACGTGGGCACGGGAGTGTCCGTCAAGACTCCCCAGGGAGGGGTTTCCAGGACACCCATGGGTGGCACCAATTGCAATGTTATTAGAATAGTTCAATACGTTGTACTAGAAAAACTTTGACCAACAGATGGTTTCCTTCAAGGGTTGGAAGCCTGCTCCCTCTTCACAATTCCCTCAATGCTCCTGACAGTTTCCCCTGGTCACAGAAACCCAGGGCCGCCATATTGGATTCAAAGGCCCATAGCTTGGCTGCCTGCCTACCTAGCTATGCAATAACTGTGCCACCAAGCAATGTCTGGGCATCTAGCCATCAGAACAACATACTAATCAATCCCTAGCTCGAGCAGAGGGGGATAAAAAGGAAGAAGAAACGGGTCAAAACTGAAGATTCAGCCCCTTGAAAGCGAGGCTAAGTCAGCTGGGAAAGACAGGGTATGAAGCAATGAAATGTCAGTCTCCATAACATCCCCTTCCCCTCCCTTCTGCATCCTCAACCCAGCACTGCTCTCACTTTCCTCCCAGGACGGAGGGAGGAAGGCAGCAATGGAACGACAAGCCATTAACCCACCAGTTTAGGAAGCAGCACAATGCAGTAGGGCTCACATGTCTGTGAGATCCCCCCCTTATACCCCTTCATCCGGAGCAGGCCCCCTCCTGAAGACAGAGAAAGGAAGAGAAGTCTGCAAAGTGATGGGGAGGAAGGGAGAGGATCCTAAGGACAGTGTCCCCCCTGCTCTCCTTCCACTACATCTATGCCACCTACATGCACCAAACCCTTGAGATCTGCACAATCACCGTCCGCCTGATATGGCCAGTCTCTTCCTTCAGGCACCATCTCAAAGACCCCCACTCTCTTTGGGTCCCTTTCCAGAGATCTGCAGTCTCCTAGGAGACGGACATTTTTCCAGCACTGGGACCTCCCCTTGTAGCAGCCTCGCTGGGATCAGGCCTACAAGCTAATCTAGCTGGGCATCGAGGACCCCTGGACTCCAGCCACTAGCAGGCCCATCCATTCCCCCTCTTCATGCTAGCAATCTCTCTTGCTCCAGCCTCCGGCAGACTCACTCGCCTTAGTGGCAAAAGAAGCAGGTTCCCACTCCTAACTCCCTCCTGCAGTATCGGCTCCTCCCCGAGAGCTCCCCCCCGTTAGTAACAAAGTTCTCAAAGGAAATCCCCATTTCCAGTGACAGGCTCCGAGCTCCTCAGTGGAAAAGCCACGTCCCTCAGCGGGGATTGGAAAGGGCATAGGAGAGGCAGTTTAGTGTGAGAGGCGTGCTGGGAAGTGCGTGAGGCTGTGGGAAGGGCAGATGGGGCAAGGGAAAAGCTTAAACCGAAAAAAAGTCAGACCGAAAATGCCGAAGAGGAAGAGATGGGAAATTACATATGTAAATTAGGGTAGGAAAACACAATGCTGTTGCAATTTCCCTATTACTTACTATTAAGCCACAAATGAATAATTAGAGGAACACTACTGAGTAAAAACCCCTGGGCCTAAGCCCGGATGGTGCAGAGAGCCCAAACTCCTACCGACTTCAGTGGGAGAGGAGGACATTCATCACCCTTTATTCTGCTTTGTTTCACAGTAGCACTAAGCGGCCTTGGCAGGGCCCCACTGTGCTAGGTGTTGTATAGACACACAGTGCTGGGGCCCGGATTTTTGTTACAAAACCCCAGATAAACATCTTTTCCAGCACTGCCAACTAATAGCCCCGGAGGTCGTTAAAACCAGATTTTTCCACACTCAGATCCATTTTGCATATTTTTGTTTTGCTAGTTGGCCTGTTCCTGCATCTGAACTGACACTATATCTGTCAGTTTCACTTTGGTTCCAGTCACTTTCACAAGGCTGGGCTGCAAACGCTGCAGGGGCAGGAGAGTTCAACCCCAATTAAAAATACGCTCTCTTTTTAAAAAAATACATATTTTATAACCTCATTTTAAAAAATTATGAAAAAAACGTTTCCATTCAAGTTTGGACAACTCTCCCGACTGCCCCTTTAAATTACAAATCCTAAATTTTGGACTTTCACTCCCAACAGTGTCCCTTTAAGCTGTACCGCAGCCATATCACCACCTTCCACTTTGTCACAGCCACGTGGCCAGATTTCAGCCAATGCGACACCCCTGAAGTCCAGGGAATTGTGTGGTTTACACCATTGGTGGATTTGGCTAATAGGGATAATGGGAGGTGGGTTATAAGGTGCCACTGTGGTGGATGGGTAGATCCCACTCCATTGCCTGCAGATGGGAACGATCAGGAAAGCAATGAGGTTGGTAGGGAAAGTTAATACCCTGCTAAACTGATCTTCTGGCTTTGGTCTAAGCTTTTCCTGCGTCTCTGCCACGAAGTCAGATGCCAAAACATTGGCAAGAGTTGCTTAAAGCTTCCAGTCACTCGGGATGTTTGAGAATTTCCTGGGTGATCCCATCCTCTCTCAGTCCAGGGACTTCCCCACGCAGCCTTGCTAGCACATAGCCCTCTCGGACTCTGCCTGGGTACAGCCATTATACTGCTGTCTCCATAGCCTCTGAGATCTCTTTTCTCCAGCTGAGCCCTCTCCTGTCCCTCTGCTACCCTCCTGTCCTCCCACCACCTGCTCTGACCTCCCACAAACAGCCATGCACTTAGGACCCTCTTCTCTCAACACACACTCCAAAGTGATGCACCCACACTCCCAACATCTGGGACACTGCATGGGACCAGCGCCCTCCCGCACGAACCATAATGCCAGGCATATTGCTTTGGTACCTCCATAACCACAGCTCCAGGGACAGTGTTGCAGGATTGCTGCACTCCTGAAACAAATACAGTGCTCAGTGCCATTGCTGTGATAACGTTTTTTACAGTCACCATTCCCTCTTGCAACTAACTGACGGGGACGTTCCACACAAAGACCTGACCTGCGTCTCTGGGGCCCATGCTGGCTTTGCACATAGCCCACTGCAGAGAGTGGGGCAGAAAAATTCTCCCTTTCCCTTGCCCGATTCCAGACCAGACCATGTCTTGTTGGATAAACCAGGCAGCATCCACTTTCTCATCCCACTCCAAAAGGCCATTTTGGCACCACCCGCTCATCAGAACGAAGCCAGGCAGAGCTGGGCCGGGGCGCACGATCATTTATATCTGAACAAGGAGGAAGGAGGTGCATCTGGGTATTAAGAAGGGGTTGTCGGTCTATGTGGCAACATGCCGCTCTAGGAAGGCATGCTGGGAAAGGCACACAGGCGGTAGGCTTCAGCAACAACGAAGGCCAAGTCTTTCCCCTTCCAGCTCTGGAGGAGCCCTTCCTTTTGCTCTATGGTTTCTTTTTCTTCTTTTTTTTTTAAAAAAATTGTTCCTAAGTAGAAAACATCTTTGATTGTGAGTCAGTCTTTTTGGCTTTTCTTTTTCTTGTTTTCAAAAGACTTCCGCCGAGGCATCCTGCACGGGCAGCTTCTCTGCAAAGACCTCTCCCCCCCACGCCCTGCCCATCCCACAGGGCCTCTAGTCTTTGACCAACTTGTATACGTGGTGCTGGGCGCCGTGCTCGCTGGTGGATACCTCAAAAACAAAGGCTATACAGAGCAAGGTTTCCTGGGTATCCCTATTCGTAACAACCTGGGTAGATAGGAGAGAGAGCAGAGTCAGGAGAGTCCAGAGATGGGTTCTGTGTTACCCAGGAGCGGCGCCAGGGTTTTTGGCGCCCTAGGCGGAGGTCCTTCCGCACTCCCGGTCGTCGTCGGCAATTCTGCGGTGGGGGGGTGTCCTTCCGTGCTCCCGGTCTTCGGGGCACTTCGGCGGCAGGTCCCGGAGCGAGTGAAGGATCCGCCGCAGAATTGCCGCCGAAGACCTGGAGCGCGGAAGGACCCCCCGCCGCCGAATTGCCGCCAACGGCGGCAAAATGCCACCCCCCAAATCCTGGCGCCGTAGGCGACCGCCTAGGTCGCCTAAATGGAAGCGCCGGCCCTGGTGTTACCTTGTAAGGCATAGTTTTACCACGTGGATGATTTATTTTATAGATCTGTATCCTCTAGCTCTATATCCCCACCCACCCACCCACACACACCCTGAGTCTCCGCTGGATTGTACCTCATGAACCCACTTACCCCCAGTACAACATAGATGAAATCTAGAGCTGGTGCAAACTCCAAACTTTTGTTTCATGGGACATTTTTGACACTTTGCAAAAACAAATATTTTCAAAATTTCCCATGAAACAGAAATTCCACCCCCAAAAAGTAGTGTTGGAAAAATTTTGAAATTTTATTTCAAAGTGAAATTTTTCTTTAGAAATGTATATTATTTTAAAAATGTTTTTATATAATTTTTTTTACATTAGTTCTGATATGACATGTAAGAGTCTACAATGATGTGATGTCAGATTATGCTATGACTTGACATATGATGGCAGATTTTACACTACTACTACATGTCATGGAATAATGTACAAATGATAAAAATCTACAAATAAACCAATACATTTCAAAACGAACATTTCCAAAAGAAATTTCATTTGGAAAATAAATTTTCTGGGGGAAATGGCATTGAAATCTACACAATTTCTCAAAAAATTTCAGTTTTGTCTAAACAGTATTTGTTTTGATGGAAAACTCTTTTGAGGACTATTTTGTGACCAGCTCTAGCAAATTACATGTAGCGGGGTACACAGCTGCATATATATTTATTAATATGTGTGTCTCTATAGTGTCTATTCACATTACATTTTTACTGTATTTTATACACACACGCACTTTTGAAGGATAAAATTTGTGTGAACAAAAAGGGATTAACACCCTCCCGTCCCTCTCCCCAAACTCTCTCAAAATCCCTGTGAGATTTGCCCCAAACTTTCCCAAAAAGGCCGCCTTGGCACAAGATGTGGCCTGTAAAAATTCTAGGTTCTAGGGAACCTGGTTTGATAAGGAAATGGCTTCGAAAAAATTAGAGCCTGTGTTTTCAAAATGATTTTAGGTTCCCAACTTGAATCACCTTAAACAAGGCTGATTTCCAGAGGGCAGATGCTCAGCACTGTCTGCCTATCAGGGTTCTTTAAGGCATCCCAAAGAGTGCACCCAGAATAACGAGTCACTTCTGAAAGTTTAGGTCCTGGTCTATAATGGGGGGACATCTTCAGTCTTAACCTGGAGGGGGGAGGGGATTTGCACCTACATGCAACAAAGGGTGGTCATATGATTGTGGTCATCAGTAAGTCATGCATCACTTATGCATGGTGAGCCTGGAAGTGGAGACTGGGGATGGCAGAAGAAGGAAGGAGGCAAGGTCAGGTACCTGCAGGATGGTGAAATTCTCCAGGACGCTGTTCATCATGTACTTCTCCGGGAGATGCTTGAGTTTGTGGATGAAGTTGATCATATATTCGCACATGGGGGACCGATGGATTCGATAGACGAACCGGCCATTCTCCAGCCGTGCGTACTCTGTCTGCAGGAGAAGGGATCCAGGTGCTCAGTGTTACTACACAGTTAGCACATGGCTGACAACAGAGAGTGCAAGGGAGCAGGAGGGAGTAAGAGCATGCAGGACGGAGGATGTAGGTAGCAAAGACACTGGGATCTGCAGCAAGAGCCTAAGCAAACTGGGATAATATCACTGGAGAAGGCTGAAATTTACTAGCTCAGGTACTAGATGCGTCCAGATCTGTTTAAGGAACATGATCTTCTCTAGCAGGTTTCATCCAGCTATTTCCACTCAATCTGCCTTTAGGCTGTTAGCTCTTTGGGGCCGGATTCTGTTAGCATCTGGCACATTTTACCTGTGACACAGCACCGCACGTTCCTATGGTAAATAATAACGGCACAGATCTCTATTAATTCAGCTTTGAAACCCCAGGGAGGTAGGTACCCTCTCCATTTTACAGATGGAGAAACTGAGGCACAGAGGGGCAGTGACTTCACCAAATGACACAGGGAGCCAGCTGCAGAACTGGGAATGGAATGCAGGGGCACTGACTCTCAGCCCCCTGCTCTTGCCAGTCTCGCCGTCTCCTGGAGCCAAGACCAGATCCCAAGGAGGCCTGACTCTCCGTCTTGTGCTCTAGCCACTAGCCCGCACTTCCTCACAGGCGTGGGACTCACCTCTACCTTCTCGACGACTTGCTTCCCGAAGGAGCACACCTTGGTGGAGACGGTGACGGTCATGTTCTCTGCGCTGCTGTACTGGCTGCTCACGCCATAGAAGGTCCCAGGACCGTCCTGGATAGTGCTGTTCAGATCCGCCTAAAGCAGAGAGAGAGGGAGGGTGTTACCAGGAATTGAGCTAAGCTTTGGCTGGAGGCAGGAAGGTCCAGAATGTGGAGCTTTCGGGGACAGGGACCTGGAGGTAAAAAAAAAAAAAAAATCACTGATTTACAGAAATACCATCTTTCTCTGCAGACTGAATGCACAGAGAGCACTTCAGCCCCTCCTGAGACGCAACCACATCTGGGGAGAAAGACAGCAGCGCATGCTAGGTTAGGACAGGAAGCGGAGAATACCATATAAGCCATTGCAACCCAGCGGGCTGGGCAGAGAATTGAGGGAGGCAGGATGTAGTTACCCCAGTTGGAATTTGGCCAGGACATCAGAGCTAAATACCTCTGCTCTTGCAAACACTGCTGCCAGATCTTAAAACCAAGGTCCTTACCCTTGGGGCCATTCCCATCTCAGGAGGACACAGTATGGACAATCTTAAGAGGTCAGAAAGCAGGAGTCAGACCTACCCACCCCGCCCCAAACCAGGAGACTTTTAAAAGTGTGTTGCGGTCGGTCTTGATTTTTGAACGCGTGTGTGTGTGTGTGCGTGCGTGCTGGCGGCAATTAGTGCCGCCAGCTCTCCCAAACGTATAGAGGAAGGAGATTTTGGCCCCCTGTGGGAGACACGCTGCTCCCTGATGGCACAGAGCTTCCAGCTTCTCTCCAACCCCCACATTTTAACTCGTTAATTTCATGCCTCCACCGTCCCCACAGGTTTTTAAAATGTTTAAGAAGTTTCATTTAAAATTAAATTAAAATGCAGAGACCCCTGGACCAGTGGCCAGGACCTGGGCAGCGTGAGTGCCACTGAAAATCAGCTCGCGTGCCGCCTTTGGCACACGTGCCATAGGTTGCTTATCCCTGGCTTACAGGATGAGGGACTGTCTCCCTCCCGTGCCAATGGTGTCGGCTGCGCCGGCTATTCCCCGCCGGAAGCACGTGGCTGGGGCTGAAATGGCAGCATTGAAGATGGCACGTCCCTGGGTTGAGCAGTGACGTAGAGGAAAGAGCCCCCTACCAACACAGCCCCCCTCCCAGCACTGCACTGACTTGGGAGGGAAGCGGGTCCCTCTTCCGACTCACCCACACCTGTTCTTGCCGTCTCTAGTGACCCTGGAAGATCTCCCACCCAAGCCTGGACCCAACCCAAGCTGGTGTGGCTTGTAAAGACAGGCAGGATCACCCCCCAAGTGATATGGCTGATAAAAGCCCCTGCATGTCTGTCTACCGCTGCCAGCTGCCACCCTGGCTTCTGGTGGGGAGAAAATTTCTTCCGGCTTGACTCAAATCATCGTACAAACAGGGCTGCCGGCTCCTGCCCGTCACAGTGTGCGGGAGCGTCTGGGAGGGGCTCTAGAGGCACAGCTGGGCATTGGCGGGGGGGTGTGCATGGTTCTTACCCAGAACTTGACAAGGAAGAAGGAGTTCTGGGGTCCTCTCTCGTAGAGCTCCTTCAGGCCCCCCTTCTTCTCGGGGAACTTGTCATAGATCTGGCGGATGTCCACGGCCTCCAGCAGGGGGTCGCTGTATGAGGGGTTCGTCTGCCCGATGTGCACGAAGAGGTGTTTGCTATACTGTAGAGGAAGCAGGAAGGGTGAGCGTTGTGGGAGCGGTCATCGGTCGTCCTAGACGCATGCACACCATGGAACCACAGCCACCATGGTGATGCTGTGTCAGACGCTGGGACCCAGAGCCCTCCGGCCTCCCATCACCGCCTGGGCTAAGAGATCACAGGGACCCAAGCTATGCCTAGAATCATTCTCCACTCCCCTCTGCTGCACAGGAGCAGCTCCGGGGGACCCCAGACATGTGCCTGGGCGCCGATGCTTGGTGCTAAGCAGCATAGGGACAGGGGAAATGCCCCCTCTGATCTCTGGGACCCTCCTCCCCCTCAGTCTGGTTGGAAGGGCGGGGTGGGGGTTCCGAACTCCCAGCACCCCCCACAGGGTTACCGTTTCAGCATCCCGCGGCACCTCCATGAACGCCGAGTATTCCAGGAGCCGCAGCTTGGCGGAGGCGATGGTGCGGTCCTGCCAGACGGGCACGGCCGAGGCAGCCGGTGGGAGAGGAGCCAGGGGCTCGTAACCTAGAACAGAGATGGAGAGACCATCCAGCAAGCTATGGGATAACCCACCATCCCCTACAGCAACTTGGGGCAGCTTCGGGAAATCTGTGCCCACAACACCGACGCGGAAAGAGATCTGGCAGGTCTCAGCAAGTCCAGCTGCCCTTACTACTAGCCAACGCTGGCCTTGTTTCCTATACTAAGGGCAGGTCTAGATGGCAGGTTTGCTGTGCATTGAGTTGATGCGCAGTACGTAAGCTGTGGTGACAGCATGCACATGGACAGCGGTTTCCATCCGCATCATTACACACACACGACAACTTGGAGCGCTGTAAGTGCGGGGCATTCGGAGGGGACCTCCAGTCTGGCTCTAGAGGTGTCATGCAATGGGGCTGGCAACCCCCTTCCTTGGGGACCTATTCCAGCGCCCAGTAGGAGGCGGCAGACACACACATCTCTCTATGTGGTCTACCACTAGAGAGGGACACAGAGCCACACTGCGTTAGCATTGCCAGGAAGCTTCCCCTGGCATACAGCCCAATCCGACTCTCGGCCTGCACATGCTCCCTTCGGTTACGTGAGACCCACATGAGCTCCTGCCCAAGTTCTGCGTGTTTAACCCTTTTGCTCTTTCTGTGAACACTGGAGGGAAACAGAGGCCTGTCCCGCCAGGGACATCCCCCACTCTCCCATCCCTGCTAAGAGGGTCAACTTTTGGGGACAGGGGCTGACGGTTATTTAAATTACACACACGCACAGCACCTAACACTACAGGGCTTTGATTCCTGATCGAGGTGTGTAGGCACCACAGCACTGTCAATAACAATCGCCCTCCCGTGCCCTAGAGCAGTGGTTCCCAACCAGGGGTACACGTGCCCCTGGGGGTACGGAGAGGTCTTCCGGGGGTACATCACATCATCTAGCTATTTGCCTAGTTTTACAACAGGCTACAGAAAAAGCACTAGCAAAGTCAGTGCAAAGTAAAATTTCATATAGACAAGAACCTGTTTATACTGCTCTATGTACTATACACTGAAATGTATGTACCATATTCATATTCCAGTGGATTTATTTTATAATTATATGGTAAACATGAGCAAGTCAGCCATTTCTCAGTAATAGTGGCTGTGACATTTTTGTATGTTTATGTCTGATTTTGTAAGCTAGTAGATTTTAAGTGACGTGAAACTTGGGGATACGCAAGACAAATCAACCTCCTGAAAGAGGTACAGCAGTCTGGAAAGGTTGAGAACCAATGACTTAGAGGATCACTGGTCTTGGCTAACAGCCCTCCTGGGATCTGTTGTGGCTAACTGGTCTTCCTGGCTAATCAGATTATAGTTTCTGAGGATGGGGGATTTCCACCTGTGTTTCTTGCTCAATACATAACAATGATGCTGGCTGGGTCACTTACAGGGATTGAACCTAGGACTTCTGGAGCCAAGATCATGAGCCTCTATTGTGTGGGCTAAAGACCAGATTCCCTTACCTTGAAAGCAGTAACAGACACACTAACATCTACACGTGGTCTAGCCACTAGGGAGCGATAAAGAGCCACGCTGTTAGCTGGGTTACGTCTGGAAAGGCAGAAGGATCAGTGGGTGTGGTGGGAGGCTGCTTTATTTCTGGGCACACCGGGTGGCAGAGGATTGCTGATAACAGAATTAAACAGGGCAGGTTCTCGTCCCAGCAGACTGAGGAGACTCAGGATCAGGGGCAGTCTTGGGAGCTTTGCACCCTGGTGAATTACAGACTGTGATGTGGAGGTGACACCCTAATATCTGGGGCTTGGGGCAGGTGGGAGACCAATTCTCCAGGACCGGTAGCTGGGGTGGCGTCTCTGACGCAGAAGAGACAATTCTGCCCTCAAGTGTGAATCCCGGGTGCAGGAGATGATAGAAAGAGGAGGAAAAAGCCCCTGAGAAATTAGCGCTCAGGTGGCCATAGCAACAGGACACAGAGATGCATATGTGAACATGCACATGAGCAGTGGGCAGAAGCTGGGGGGGTGGAGCCTTCATCTGGGGGAGGAGCCAAGGGCAGGGCAATTAAGGCAAGCAAATGAATAGTTCTGCACCTCCAAGAGGCAAGGCACTGGCGGAAATCTGGCCACCAGTGAAAGCGACCCACTTACTGGCTAGTGATGGAGGCATTGGTGGCTGGATGGGGTAGGCTGGTTGTGCAAATGGTTTAATGCTGAAAAACAAAGTGCATCGTTAGGCAGGTTAATGAGAATCTCGTTTATAAAGCGTCCTCCCAACCCACCTCCTCTCCGTAGGGAGCTGACGGACGCTTCCTGGACAATTAAGACAATTAAGACAAGAACATTGATATCCAAATCCATATTGTGTGCCTGTGCGCATGCACACAGAGACCAGCTGCTAATTCTCATCTCCCTACATCTGCCTGCCCCGCTCTCCCCTCCCAAAATGAAGAGGCCTTCTGCACCCCTCCCACCACGGACTGGGATATGTCCAATCCTCCCTCCCCGACACCCCCTTAGTCTAGTATAAATGCAGCTCATCCAGAGGCCCATGTTCTCAGTGCACACAGCAATCAGCCAGACACCAGTGCTGGTTGGACCCCAGAGCTCATCAGAACCAAGTCATTAGCAGCGAGGTGTTGGTGGATCATTGTCACAACCTCAGGCCAGAGATACAGCAGTTCTCCATCCATCAACACACTCAGCATGGGCAGTGGCCAGGCAAATGTTCCGCACACCCCACCCCAGAGGAACCCACTCCTGGGGGTAGAGGGGAGTTCTACACACAGGTTTCTGATCCTCTCCTGACTACATGGGAGCCGGCTGCATGCATCAGGTTGTTCTCCACACACTGCTCACATGTAGGCTTAAAAACGTGCACACCAGTGATTTGCCTAAGCTGGCAGAGTTGGGCATAGGACCTAGGAGACCTGGCCCCCCGGGGTCCCTGCTCTCCCCCATAACAGCACACTGCTTTCCTGATCTCTGACTGACACAAGAACTTGGAGGGAGAAAACCAAGTCATATTAAAGCATCAGCAACCATAAATATGGTCTGATCGAGACTTGAGGTGCCTCTTTACTTACTCCTGAGAGGGTCCAGGCTGTCCGCTCCAAAACTGGGGAAACAAAAGTACACAGGAAGGAACGGTCAGGGACTTAGTCGCACATCCCAACACCCCGCAACATATCTTACCGCCCCTTTGAGCGGGTCACTAAACAGCTCGAGGGGTTTTAAGGTTGCGCAGCAAGTCTACAGCCAACCTGGACACCACTTCTTCAGCAGAAATCTGCTAGGGGAATGCCGTAACTGTGAGCTCCCCAAGGGCCAATTCTCCTGCCCCTTTCCTCAACAAAGCCACCTGTCGGGAGAGCCTAGGACTGGAGTAGCTGTGAGCTCCCTTGCAGCCACCCCTCCCCTGCTGTTCCCTGTATCAACTCCCAGTGTGGCAGGTGAGCCTGCGGTGGCTCGACCTCCTTCCTAGACGGTGTTCCTAGCCCATTCCATGTGGCAGATCCTACTGGGCTGGGAGCACAGGGCGAGCCTTTTTCCACCTGGGGAGAGCGGAGTCCCTTACCCTGGTGGGAGCAGAGAAGACAGCCTGAGGAAGAGGAGGAGGGGGGCTGAGTTTGTTCTGCAGGACGCTGGCGGATACGATCTGTGCAGATGACATGGAGGCCATACTCTGCAGGGCCTTGTCCTTCGAGACCTGGTCCTTTGAGAGAGGAGAGGAGGAACAGAAAGCATGGTTACCAACCCAAACCGGACAGGGACGCAGACCGACCGACCGACACCGATTACCCCCTTCAGCCCAAAGGAGCCCAACGCGCTTTACAAACTGGATCTATACACGCAAAGGGATCCCTTCAACTGCCCCTGAGATGCAGCCACCTCTGGGGTGGAGTGTGGCAGCTGTTTATCATTGCCATCCATTGTTACACAACAGTTTAGGGCAGGAAGTCACAGAGAATAATGCAGTCAATGAAACAGCAGGGGGAACTTGGGAAGGAGAACAGAAACCCCCCAGACTGGAATTTGCTCACATCAACATCCCAAGGAATTGTTGAGCACAAGTGGCCAGGGCCTCGGTTTTAAGTCTCACATGTGAGAGGGCACCCTTAGCAGCACTGGTTGGGTCCTGACTCAGAGAGAAAACACCCCCCTACCCCTGCACTGAATCACTGATACCAGGGATTTTTTCTTGGGAGGTCTCTGTCCATGGGAGAGGGCCAAGGAATATTAAAGGGATAAAGAGACGTTTAAAGAAAGTAACTGCAAACTCAAGCACTACTTACCAAGTTCATGGCCTGTACGTAAAAGAAAGGAATAACAACGGTTAGTATGTTTGCAACAATCCCAGAGCAGATGCACGTCTGCACCCTTATAGGCGTCATTAACATACTGACCCTTTGAAGAACCAAGGGAAGATGGGTTTGACTTTGGAAACAAACCAAATCTAAACCTGGGTGGTTTCTAATGGACCCGGTCTCTCTGTGTTTATAACCCTGCCTGGCAATCTGGGTATGTGGGACGCCAGGGTGTGAATGGGTACGACAGATCCGTGCGGGCTGGTAACCTCTTCTCAGTTAGGCACCACTGAGTAGTGCACGGGCCGCTGTGAAATACTAGAATAGGCTACAGTAGAACGTGAAGCTAAGGATAGTGAGCCAAGGGCTGATTGGGCATGAAGCAACCTTACCCAGTGCACACAGGTACGTGTGTGACAGCTGCACCAGCAGCGGAGGCAGGCCCGGTTCTATACGTGCACACAGCAGAAAGGCAGGGAATGAGGAGTGCCTGGCTGTATGTGAACCGGGGCACTGGAACCATTTTTATAGTGGGGGTGGTGATGGTGGAAACCATGTATTTGGTTGTGAACCGAGTGGCTGTGCACATGTAGATCTGAGTGCAGAGAGGAGCGGGAAGAGTGCTGGGTAGAGGAGATTCAAAGGGATGCGTCTGAGGAAATGATTCTTAGCTGTTTTACGATGGATTGATTTGAGAATTTCCAGGCCTGCCACATAGATCCTCATTTGGGCTATTGGATCTTCTGTGTTTTTAATATCATCAAGTCTTTCCCATTCACCACCTCTTACAAGTTTTAAAGCTGGCAAAGTGAAATGAGAAAATAGGCAACAAAAATAACCTCTGCTTATCATGCTCAGCTCCAGGGACATTGCGGAGGAGCCATAGGAAGGAGAGGATTAAAACCAGGAAATCGATGTGTGCATTTGTATCAGCAGCTCATCTCTCTCTCTCCAAACTGCATGGACCTCAACAGCTGAGCTCCCATTCGGGCCTCTAAGGAAGTGGCCACATTTTCAGAAGGGCTCAGTGCAGTGGGTGCACACTGGGTGTGGAGCACTAGATAATCTGTCCCTAGACGTCTGTGTGTTTACATGAGGCAACTGGAAAAAGGAGCAAGGTTTCCCTTTTGCAATAACTATTTGGCTCACTCAGCAGGAACAGAGGGTTCTGCAATCTTTCCCAGCACATCTGTGGTCATCCTAGTGCAGGGGTTCTCAAACTGGGGGTCGGGACCCTCAAGGGGTCACGAGGTTATTGCATGGTGGGTCGTGAGCTGTCAACCTCCACCCCAAACCCCGCTTGCCTCCAGCATTTATAATGGTGTTACATATATTTAGAAGTGTTTTTAATGTATAAGGGGGGGTCGCACTCAGAGGCTTGCTGTGTGAAAGGGGTCACCAGTAAAAAAGTTTGAGAACCACCGTCCTAGTGTGCTTACTCTGTATGCATGCCCTGCTCATCAGATCAGATATTGCTTTTCCTCCTCAGAGCTTAACTCGAGGCTTGATCGGCCCATTCATTTTGAACCAATTTTAAGAGCCCCCAGAGACTCAGGAGATGGATGTATTTTAAAAATCAGTATTACACAGTACTGTAGCATCTAAGAGCTACGTGCACGGACACACGTTGGAGGCGTAGTGAGAACCGAAAGGCAGCTGGACTTGGCTGTATTAAAAAAGGATCCCAAAATGGAGATACAGTTGTTCCACACACAGGCCCTGTTGGCCCTTCCAAAATTGCCCTCAAGTGCCCATCCCCCCTTCTAGAAGAGTAAGAAGGGCTTGTTAAGTACAGCCTCCGTCCGCACCAGTTACTGAGAGTCCCCAGGGGCCAGAGGAGTTCCTGTCCTTATGAAAGAGTCAGATGGGATTTAATAGGGACCTATAGAAATGACTCACAAACCCTATACTAGAATTTAACAGTGAGCCAGATCCTCTCTCTAGGTTCTTTTGAACAATCCTGTAGACTCTACAGTAGGGAGAGAATTCCCTATTCAATTCTGCAGGGATTTTCTGCCTGGACTTGTTAAATGGGACAGGAAGACAGAGGGCACTGGAACAAACAAATGCATATGGACCAGCGGCGAGATTTCTCCGCCACCTGGGAGTGGCCCCCGCGCCATGCAGGCTAATCATAGTTATTGCACTATTATGGTGTGTTCTTCCCCTCTGTTTGCGGCATCCACCTGTTGTCTCTCGTCTCCTACTCAAGCTCTTCAGGGCAGGGTCTTTTAGTTAAGCGTGTGCACATGTGCCGTGCCTGGCACAATGGGGCCCCGATGGTGGGGCTCCCACAATACAAAATGAACGACAACCACAAAAGGAGGAACGTCCTGATGAGAACTTTCATTTCCGTTTCAGTTGCAATACCCCTCCCCGCACCCTGCCCTGTGACCCCACCCCACCCACATGTGCCTCTGGCACCCAGCAAACAACAATACAGAGAACACACAGTGGAAACGGTTACTGAAAGGTTAGTCAAACTCCACTTAGAAAGAGGGAAGGAGAGAAAGAAAAGCCAACCAGAGAAGAGACAACATTCCAGTTTTATCCTTGCTCTGCTCCCTTGGCTCCTGGATCCCTAGCCTGCCCGCTAGGCAGCCAGAATGAACTGGAGCAGGGTCTCCATAGGAAGTCCCAAAGCTCCTGGCTGAGCATCCCTGCACTAGCCAGTACGTTCCACCATATGAGCCCTGTGGCTCAAACATCCCCCACCCAACATCTCCCTGTGCTGGTCCCAAAGCCCGACTGTTCCCCTGCAGACTAGAAGTACAGGCCCCAACACCCACGTGTCTCCTTATGGGGAGGGGCGGGGGGCAGAGTCACAGCGTGTGGGCCCCATAGCCTGAGCATCCCGACACCTTCCGGAGCAGAGTTATTCCAGGTGGCCCACGCAGCCCAAGTGCACTAGAACCAGTTGGGACAGCATCACTCCGCACAGGCATGGAACCAACCCATGAGCATCAGCATCTGCTGGGGGAGCATCGCCCTGCAAAGCCCCTTGCTCCTGGCCCTCAGCCTCAGGCACCGGTGTGGACTCTGCATCTCATTCCCGCCCCTTGGACGTTATGGCGTCCGCTGGGGAGGTGCCCAGCACGCGGTCCTGACCCCCAGCCCAGTTCTACCAAACTCATCTGGAGCAGCACCTGGCTAGGTTAGGCTCCAGCCTGCACTGCTCCCTCACGGTCCTGCAGCGGCTAACTTATGATGCATCTCTGCAGCCTGGGGGAGGCCGTGACCCTCCCAGCTACAGGGAAACACGCAGAGCCTTGCCCAGTGCAGGAGCTTGTGGGGAGGAGGAAGAGCACTAAGGGGAAAGCCTAAGACCCTTGCTTGCTATGTTACTGCCTTTGGGATGCGCGGGCTCTGGCCAGCCCTGGCAACCTACCAACCCTGCACTCCCCGCTCCATGCAGAGCAGGTCCCAACGCGGGCACAGCGCTCACCATCCTGCAAAGGGCACGTGGGAGGAGGTTCTCCAGGGAGGCCTCTATCTGACCTCAGGAGCTTCCTAGCTAGACCTCTCCAGCTGGAGAGATCCTGTTGCAGTCTCTTCCTGCCACCCCTTCCCCAGGGAGTGTCTGGTTCCAGGAACGAAGGGAGTGGGGGAAAGACATAAAAAGGAAAGAGAAAGCGGCACACCACAGAGCTGAGTGTGTTAGTCGTCAGCACGGCCACTGCTCGGGGGCAAGCGGGAGGTGGGGGAAGCCGGGGAGCGCGTACCTTCAGCTTGGACTGAATCTCGCGAGATTTCCGTCTGGCTAGAACCTGCAAGTGGCTAGAGACCTGCAGAGAGAAAGCAGAAGGAGAGGGGAAAACAGCAGAGCCGTCAACCAGAGCAGAGGAGAGGAAGGAGAGGGGCTGCCCCATGCTCACACACCACGGACGCATGGGCAGGGTCTCCAACGTACCTTAATGCCAACCTGGTACTCCCGCACCTTCTTCCGAGCTAGAACCTGTATGTGGCTGGACACCTAGGGCCCGCCAAGCCGTTCAAAAAGGAAAACACAAAGAGAATGAAGACATGATCCCACACTGCACTGCGTGACAACAGCGCACCGAGCGCTTGAGATACATGGGGCCAGCCCGGGGGTCAGCGGAGGCTCCTGAGAACTAGCACTCCTCCTATGGAACGCGAGCAACAGTGGCCAAAAATATCAGGCCAGATCCTCAGCTGGTGTAAACATTATGCCGGTTTATGCCAGCCAAGGATCTGGCCCATAGAGCAGACACGTGCCCCGCGAGCACACCCCACTTGTTTCACTTTGCAGTTTGGTTCTAACTCTGCAACCAACGGTGCTGTGGACGCCAAGGCTATTAGTGCTTGGTGGTTCTCTGCAAAGGGGACACATCTGACCAACAAAGAGATGGTTTCTCTAACTGCCAGCCTTGCACGATCAGCCGGGCTCTTTCCTTCTCGTGCATCATCGTCAGGGAGGGAGTTTCTGAAAGGCAAATTTTGCCCTTCCACACGGCCGTGTCAAACCTGTGACGCTCTGCCAGGCGGAATTTGGCCCTGCAGTTGCAGCATAGCGAATCATTCCAGGGAAGACGCAGGAGCCAGAACAGACTCCACCTGGCTCCCCCACATCTCTGTGAATTGTACTGCTCAAAGAGGAGGAAAAACACAGGCAAAAATTTTCAGGGCCAGGTTCACTCAAAAAAGTGAAGTCGACCCTGTTACGTCGCTCAGGGCTGGGAAAAATCCATCCCCCGAGCAATGTAGTTATGCCCACCTGACCCCTGGTGTAGACAGCGCTAGACAGACAGAAGAATTCTTCCATCGACCTAGCTACTGCCTCTCGGGGAGGTGGGCAGGGACAGTGTTCCTAGCCTCTGTTTGCCAAAAGCTGGGAATGTGCGACAGGGAACGGATCACTTGATGATTACCTGTTCTGTTCATTCCCTCTGGAGCACCTAGCATTGGCCACTGTCGGAAGACAGGATACTGGGCTGGATGGACCTTTGGTCAGACCCAGTATGGCCGTTCTTATGGATTAACTATGCCGGCAGGAGAACCCCTGGCATCATTGAGCATCTACACTGAAGTGCTGTCAAATGTAGACAAGCTCCAAGTCTGGGCATCTAAAGATAGGGACCTAAATAAAAGGTGGTTGGTTTTCAGAGCATCCACAACCCTCACTCAGGTCAATGAGAGCTGTAAACCTTGGAAAATCAGGTGTGTGCAGTGTCATTATAGCTGTATTGATCCCAAGGGGGTGAGGTGATATCTTTTACTGGACCAACTTCTGTTGGTGAGAGAGAGAAACTTTCGAGCCACACAGAGCTCTGATTCTGGTCTGGGAAAGGTACACCAAGCATCACAGCTAAACACAAGGTGAAACAGATACGCATTAACATAGATTAAAGAGACCATTCAAGAGGAAGTGAGCACTTCATAGCTCTACAGTCCTAGGACAAAGGAGGCTTAGTGGGTTACAGGTTGCTGTAATGAGCCATAAATCCAGGGTCTTTATTAAGTCCACCAGAGCTATGAATTTAAGTCTCCAGGCTCGTCTTTTGACGGTGTTGTGCAGGATGTTTTCTATTCAGAACCAGGAATATGGAGTTAGGAACCTCTCTTGGGTCACCCAGAGCTGAAAATTTTGGCCTCATCTGTGCAGCAATGTGGTGTCATTTCCCACACGCTCCCTTCAGACCATCAGCTGCCCCTACATCCTGCTCTCTTGCAACTAGTCCCAGCCCCTTGGCTGCTTCTCCAGCGCAGAGACTGTCTGCTGTGCATCGAGATGCCTCGGACACATTTCTGATGGAGATCACCAGGTTCAGTTTGCTCTTGGTTCAAACCTCTGCCTCCAGAGGGACCCAGTGAGGGCTGCACGCTCCATAACAAAATTCCCCTCTATTCATCCATTCGAGTGGCACCTGCCCCTGCCGTCCCGCCTCTACCGCCAAGCCCAGATAAGTTTTCAAGGGATCATTTCAAAGCTTTAACACAGAGGAAAAGTTCTACTGCATGGAGCCAACGTGGTCTTCCATCTATCCACGTACCTAGACAGCCCTCCCGCCCATAGGATCCAAGCACCTTACAATCAATCAGTCTATCTATGGTGCTTATACTGCCCCCATCAATGCAGTAGCAATCACTGATGGATTTTATCCTTCCTCGGAGGTAGGGCAGTGCTATTATCCCCTTTTACAGATGGGGAGCTGAGGCACAAGGATAGATTAATGATTTGCACAAGGTGTCTGTGTCTGAGCTGGGGATCGAACCCTTGTCTCCAAAATCCCAGTTCATTAAACTGTCCTGCCCCCCATCGTGGCTCCTCTCGCCAGCCAGTCTAGAGCTACCTGTTGTCACAAGCCAGGGGGGAGCAACCGGGCGAGCGGCAGTCAGATTTCCAAGATCCTTTCCCCCTTGCGTTGGCAGGAACCCCGCTACAAACCACAGCCAGTCACAACACGGGTGACCTGCTGTTCTAATCCCATCACAGAGCATGCACTGGACACAGCCAGAGGGAGTTTCAAGCATGGGGAGCAGCGGGACGGCTGTTGGCAACCGGACCCATTGCAAATGGAAAGAGCCTCTCCACGGCTTATGGACAATCAGCTCCGTCCCTGGACTGGTCCAGAAGCATTCACAGACACAGGCGTGGAAATGGAGACAGGACTCCTCCTTCCTTGGTCCCATCAGGCAGGTAACACCCCAGAGCTCCCTCAGCAGGTGTGATTCGCTGCCAGCTGATTTTCAATGCTGCCCTGGTGCTAGTCCCCTGTTCTACATCCCTCACCCAATACAATGAATGGGGGCGAGGAGCACGGGGCTGGCTGGAGGGAGGGGATGCAGGTGGGAACAAGGAGCTCTATGACTCTCCCGCCACAACAGCCCGAGCTTCTGGTGGGGGTGGGAGAGAGCTCTTTGCCCATGCCCTCAGCTGACAGGACAGTATTCTAGTGCACCAGCACCGGGGTATCTGAGGCACCTGGGTTACACAAGCGCCCCCTGTCCTGGGAAAGAGTACTGGCAGAGAGGGACGCTAGAGCTGGATCTAGAAGAAGAGAGGGTGTGAAAGATGCAGGATTTCGCTAGAGATCTCAAACACGCCAGTGACCATTCAGAGCTGGAGGCTGGCCTGGCCTAGTAGGAAGAAAGGCGCCAGGTGCCCAATCCAGATCCAGGTTCGAATCTAGAGGTGTTTGGGTTCAGGCCCAGATTCCTCCAGAAGCGATAGGGCAGGGTGTGTATAAAACAGGAAGATCCCATGAGCCCTAGGCCCAATCACAAGCCAAACCCCAAACCAAATGACTTTGGAAGGTTCAATTAACATTTCCCATGCCCCACTCGCCATCACGGCTCCCTCCAGGAGGGGAGGCAGACATGTCGCTACCCCATGCAGAGGGCTGCTCTTGGGACGTGGCTGGGCCCACCAGGCCTCTCACGAGGCTCGGGGATGGGCGAGGCTGGGCTACACAGGCACACACCGGAGTGCTGACCCCAACTGAATCCCAAACGCCAGGGGTTCTGACGCCTCACGGTGGGACGACAGCAGCCAGGAACCTGCTGGATCTTAGCACATGAGCCTCTACTGCCTCAGCTAAAAGAGGCCGTTAGCCAAGGCTGCAGCAGACTCATCCATCTCTAGCTGGCCTGGTCACACCCAGAGGGGGACAGAGTGCCACATCAGGCAGGTGCAGCGTACAGGAGGCTCACCCAACCCCGCTTGCCCAGCGAGCTGTAGCCCACGGGAGGAGATAAGATGAGTGTGCAGGAACAGATCAGTTCCCGGACCTCAAGCAGCCGGTAAGCAGTGTGGTGGGGGTGGGGTGGGGGGTCTCTCAACAATCGCTATCCCCGCCCTTTGCTGGGCTATAGCAGCTCCCAGCGAGCTGTGTCCAAGCCTCATAACCCCCCTCATGACGCAGCTCAGCGTAATCCTCATTGCACGGATGGGGAAAAGGGGGCACAGCAAGGGGAAATGCGAGACGCGCAGCAAGCCAGCGGCAGAGCTGGAAGTGGAACCCAGGCATCCGGACTCTGCCCTGGGCTTTGCCTGCTAGTCCACACAGTCCTTCCTCGTCCTCCCAGAGTGCGACGATAAGCCGAGCGAAGCGCGCCAGACTCCCCAGCACTGTCCTCAAGGCCGAGTCTATCAGCCAAAGGTCTCGCGCTTGGACCCTTTCTTCAAATAAAGTAAAGCAGGTTTTTTTTACCTGTTTTCTCGTCCGTGTTTTCCCCGTCCGGAGCTTGATGTATCTCGCTATCAATTCATTGCGACCTAGAGCAAGCCAAAGAGTAAGAACAAGATCAAAGCAGGAGCATCTTGCCAGGTCCTTTGCCCTGTCCCTGACACGCAAACACTTCTCTTCCCTAGTCCAAGAACACCCCAGCCCTGGCCTAACCAAGGTTTCTCTCTGAGCCACATGTCAAGTGACAAGGCTTTGCCAGAAGGGGGTGCTGTCCTGGCAGCTGTCAAGGCATGACTGAGCCAGCTGGTGGGGCAGGCTGGAAGGGTCTGTGAGGGCCCCGGTGACAGCGTTTATGGGAAGAGAGGGGCCAGGACACAATGAAATGACCACGATGGAGGGGACCGTTCTGACTGACAGCACGCACCGAACGGCGGGCGGTTTGTGCTGACCAGAGAGCCGGGCGCAGACACGGGACACCCAGAAACTCCTCCCATCGCATCTGCGGGACGGGATTCCTTCCCTCCCACGCCGCTCTTGGAGGACACCGCCAAGAACGGCAGGAGAGCTTTCAGCGCTCGCTCCACCGGGAACCTGGCGCTTTGGGATCACTGCTCTCGGAGACACCCCTCCCCTCCTTCTAGGAGGGAAACTGGCAACTCTACAAGCTGCAGCAGGAGGCCAGTGAGCTTCCGGAAATGGGCGAAGAGCACGGCACGAGATTTGGGTTCAGATGTAAGCAACATTAGCAACCCCCAAAATTTTCCCCATGGCCCAATCCGCATTTCCAGCAGCACTGGCCTTTTAAACAGCCTTGCCCGACATCCTCGGCCTAATCCGAAGCAGAAGTGCTTTTGCTCCACATTTTACAGGCCAGCTGTGGCCAATCTAAATTCAAACCTCAGAGCAGCTGGGAGCTTTCTTCTCTCTCCTTCCCCACTTCCCCCACCCCCAACCGATGTGGGGGTGGGGAAGCACGCCAGATTTATTTTAATGGACCAGATGGTGGTGGTTGGAGCTAGTCAAAATGCCCTTGGAGCTAGTTTAGGATTTAAAAAAAAAAAAAAAAAAAAGTAAAAAAGCCAAACAACTTTTGTAGCAGCGCCCAACGCCCCGCGCCTTCTGGGGGCAGGGGGAGGGGCTCTCCGAACAGGCCTCACACTGTAAGGGAAGAAGCACGAGCTCCCCTCGCCCCCTCCTCACGCCCCTGCAATCCCGCCAGCAGCACGGCGACAGACAGCGCCAGGTGCTGCGCTGGGTCAGCTGCGTCCCATGCCTCCCGGGGAGGGCAAGAGAAAGAAGGCTCCATACGCAGGAGTAACAATGCTCCCTCCACAAAGAGCAGCGGGAGCAGGGACCCTGTCCCTTGGGGGGGCGGGGAGGTGCAACCCCTTATGGGGGTGGGGCAACCCCCCCCTTTGTCTCCGGAGCACTCACTTAGACAGTCCTCACTTCCCCTGTGAGGCCACTTTACAGATGGAGAAACTGAGGCACAAAGAACGGGGCAGTGACTTGCCCAAAGTCACCCAGCAGGACAGGAACAGAACTCCTGTCTCCTGAGTTCCAGTCCAGTGGCCCATCCACTCGGCTGTTCTTCCCTCACACACACAGGCAAGCTTGCCTGGGAGTAATAGGGCTCCCCACAGGGAACAGCTGGAGTGATTCCCCGCGCCCTGGGTTAACACTGGCCCCCACAGGGGACGGCTGGACTACTTCCCCTTAGAAGGCAGCTGTAGCTAATCCTGCATTCCCATAAACGCCCACAACCAGGGGCTCTGGTTTCTTAGTCTCTAGCTGCACAGAATCAGGTGGGCCGAGGCCCAGCCTGACCTGTCTGTACCTACCGGGCTACCCCAAAGACGTGAGGGAGAGGAGGAGATTCCAGCCCTCAGCCGCTCCCCACTCCTTCCACCCAAGACCAACAGTCTCGGGGTGCTATCTGAGGGGCCCGGTGAGGCTAATCCCTTGGGGGGGGGGGGGGGGGGGTTGGCACTGCTAGATGCATTTCCCCTCACAGCCTCTCCATTGCAAACTGCACATTAGAAATAAACGCAGCCCAAGGAGAGTAATCAGGGAACAACTGCTAAGTACCTGGCTTGCTGCAGCCATTTCCTTCCTGTTCACCCCTGGGGTCTGAGGTCTGCTCTTCTACCCTTGCCCCGGGGCCTCTCAAACCCCGAGTGCCCCAGATGCCACTTCTCTCGGCCTCTGCACCGCTCCCGTCACAAGGCGCGGAAGCTACCCAGTTGCTATTGGCGCCCAATGCTAGCTGTGCCTTAGAGAGGTGCTGTTGGAAGTACGTGGCAGGTGCCCACCCAGCCTGCCTGCTCACCCTGGCAGCGTGGATCTCTCTCTTGACTCCCTGGTGAGCTGTCAGAGCGCAAGAGCCTGGGGGTTACAGCTAGGCCGGGACCTGGGAGACAAGAGACCTGAAGGATCCAGAGTCATGGTGGGCCCTGGCCTAGGAGGTAGCAGTAGGGAGGCCTAGTGGCCTGAAAAGGCTGCACTCCTGGCAGGCCTGGCCCCACAGCATGGTGGAAGGCATGGGGGGGAGCAGGAAAGGGGTGGCAGGGTGTATGTGAGAGCAATGGAGAGAACCCTGAAGATCCCTGGATCTGGACAGAGGGTGGCAAGGGAGGAGACGCTGAGAGAGGAGAGGGCAGCGCTGAGCGTAGAGGCCCGGGGACAAAGATGAGCGGAAGAGGAGGGTGGAGAAAGGAGGACAAGAAAAGAAGAAAAAGTGACCACAGTTGAGGAGAGGGGCTTCGGGGTCAGTAGGCGTCCTACAGTTCCTACAATGTACCGCAGGACCCTGCCGAGAGGGGAGGACTATGGGGTGGAGCGGGTCAATTTGAGGTGATTGTATTTCCCGCCCTCCCATTGTGGGGACACACCAGCACTCCTCCATCCCCACCATCCTCCCAATCTTGAGCACAGCTGAAGGCACTACAAACACAGCGCGGTCATATGGGGCAGCCCACGCCCCGCAGCGGGGCACAGCGCAGCCGGCGCACTATGGGCGTGGGACACTGGATTATTTTCAGCGGGTATTAACAGCGCACCCTCGGCCCCGCCACTGCAGGGTTCCCTGCACAATGGGAGCCTCTTCCAGCTGCTCTGGAAGTTTGCAGAGGCCTCAAGGGGTCATCATTCCCCAAGTGCTGTGAGCGGGTCTCCCCTCTCTGTGTGTCTCTCTCTCACACCCTGTCCTCTCCCCTCACCTCTATTTTAACAGCATGTGTCACTTCTCCCTTGTGCCCCCTCTCCGCACCCTGTTGTGAACTGTGCTGCGGGTAACTCTCCTCCCTCTGCATAGCTGTGTGTGTATGTGTGTGTGTGTGTACACGCACACGCACCCTCTGTTGTACCATGGAGTTGCGTGTGTGTGTGTGTGTACACCAACCCTATTCTCTGCTCCCTGTGTGTGGTACCAGCAGGACAGCTCTGTGTGGGCCCCACTGTCTCTATGGTACCTGCGTAGCTAAGTCTGTGCGTGTTTGTCTCTGGGAGCAGCGGGAAGGCCCCCCGTGCATGCCCCCCCTCCCCGTCTCTATGGTACCAGGTAGCTAAGGGTCATGCTCTCTCACTCTCTGGTACCAGCAGGCCTTGCAGGGCTGTCCCAGCCCCGTGATTCACCAGAGGTTGTGCCATTCCCTCTAGGAGGGCATGTCCCTCCTCCAAATTACCACATTCCCCAAATTCCTCTCCCCTGACACCACCACGTGAACCAGTTGGACGGCTCTGTTAAAAATAACCTAGTGGGACAACCTTCCAGCCAATCCGCGCGCCGCAGCATACCAGCCCTGGCCGAGTCCAACTCAAGTTACACCTGCTGTCTGGGGGCAAGGCGCAGGCTCCCTGAGTTCCTGGCAACAACCCTGAGAGACAGAGAGACACCCCTTGCCCGACAAGCCCCAGCCCTCCGCTATCACCCCATGCTCACAGCCTGGCCACCATTCAAATGCTAGAGGTTACCATAGGTCAAGGTTGCCCCCCTTCCACTGCTTCCCTCGGCCTCTCTATGCCAGCGGCTGGGAGCTCAGTCCCTCTGCAATCAGAGCACCCCTACCCCTCAAGTACAGCGCCAGAGCTACAATGCTCCAGGATCCTCCTGGAGAATCCCATCTCTAATGCCTGCCTGGATAGATAGCCATGCTGGTGGGCTGGAGAAGCCCTCGTCAAGGGAAGCTACAGAATGCCCCACAGTGTCCTGTCTAGGCCCATCAGCACAGTGGCATCCCCAAGGAAAGAACGCTACAGCAGGGGATTGCAAGTGTTTCAGGGCAGGGACTGCTTCATACTGCCTAGCACAACGCAGTCCCGGTTTCGGTTGGGACCTCTAGGCACTACTGTAATACAGCTAACAAACAACGGCCAGCAATACCGTAATGAGACTCATGTAAGCTGTTGGGAGGGGATGTTACTGCAGAAATCCTCAGAGAAGAAAATACTACTGGATGCTGTCGTGATGGTCCACGACGTTACTGGTTTCAATGGCGAGTCTGGGGCTAGTGCTATAGAATACTAGAGTATTCTCTTAGTGGGATACTGGAGTACCAGGAAGTAAGCAGGTTGGGCAGGAACAAAAGGAAATGGGGTAACAGTAGATGAACAGCACCGCCTTTGCCTAGATAAACAGTGGGGTAGGTGGGGTTCCCTGGCTCTACTGGGGTTAGTCTCCCTCTGGTCACGGCCGAGAGACCCTCTGGGGCTGTGTGGCCTGGAGAACCCGTGCCAGGTGTGAGCTAAGCCCTTCCCCTGTGGGGAGGACCCCGGATTCTGCGCAGCCAATGACTCATTTGCCATTGCTTCCACTATTCCAGCATGGAGATCCTTGGCTTCTCCATGGGGTTTCTCGTCAGGGGGCCGCACAGGGCGCTCATACAGGCTGGAAATAACACCCATGAAAGGGGTCAACAGCCCCACCAGGCAAATGGGGGGGCACAAACACAGGGATTCATTTAAGGCCACGCAGATCATACACTTGAAGGCCAGAACGGGACCACCATGATCATCTACGCTGACCTTCTGCACATTGCAGGCCACAGAATCTCACCCACCCCCTCCTGTAATAGACCCCTCACCTCTGGCTGAGTTACTGAGGTCCTCACACCACGATTTAAAGATCAGAGGCAAGGGTCATGGTGGTTTCAATCCCTCCTCTCCCAGAAGAACTAGGATTGGGGTAGGGAAGCTCACAGCCTCTCCAAGCCATACTCCTGCAGGTGGACTTGGGTGCCCAAGGACTATGAGTTCGCCCAGCTATTCTGAGCCCCCTCCCAGATTAGACGCAGACCTGGGCCCACTGTATGTTCGGGTCAACAGACCCCTCCTTGCTCTCTCCTCTAGGAGGGAGACTACGATGGTTCCCCGCAGCCCTGCCCCCAGTTCTAAACACTGCCTACAAAAGAGAGGGATTGGGTGAGGCAGAGAAAAACTGGGGAGGGGGAGCACAGCGAGAGAAGAAGGTGAAAATGAGTTTCTGTACCAAGTGCGGCAGCGTGGAAGATGAAAGCAGAATTGGGCTGCCGTCTCTTTAAGCAACTGCCAGATGTCTCCCAGGGGCTGGAAAAACCAGTTTGCACACTTGGGTTTGTTGAGTGGAGGCCAAGCTCCCCAGTGGCACTCCAACTATTTCCAGAGAAATCCAAAAAATGCACCCGCTTTGGAATCCCCGCGCTCCCCAGCCTCCGTCCCCGAGGCCCTGGGCTAGAATGGCCCCTGCTGGGCGGCATGAGTGGGGAGCAGGGGTGCAAGGGCTGAAAGGCGGTGTAGTGAAGCACGTCCCTTTGGGTGGCCCCAAATCTTGGGAGCAGGGGTGGGGAGAAGTCTTGCTTTGTTGCAGGAAGATCTGAGAACAGGGGGAGAGGCATGGAAAGCCAGTGAGACCAGTGCAAGGGGAGGGGAGCTGTTAATGGAATGGCCAATGCTTAGGGAAGAACTTAAAAAGACAAACTCGTGCAGTGTGTTGGCGACTGTCCCCCTCCCCAGAGGTGGTTGCATTTCATGGGTGCTCTGTGCCCAATTGGTCACGTGTTTTAGAGTCTTTTGCAACTAGAGAGAGAGGTAAGGCATTACCAGCCATCTTCAATTCCCTTCAGCTCAGTGCTGATTCCCGAGGGATTGGTGCAAAGACACGACTGGCCAGTTCCGATCGGGTGTAAGAGCTGTGCCCAGTTTCTCAGAATATAATCAATATATAACTATCCTAAATCCTTAGCCTTTCTCTCGCATCCTCCCAGGATTCCAAAGTGCTTTACAGAGACGAACACATTAAGTGTAAGGTAGGTATTCTCCCTATTATTAGGATGGGGAAACCGAGGCAGAGTTGGTGGCAGTGCTGGGAACAGAACCCAGATCTCCTGAAGTCTAGTCTTGCACTTTAACCACTATTAGACAGTGTACCCCCCCACCTCCACCTCCATGAGTCATCCTCTGAGGTCATAACGCAGTGTTTATAATATGACAGTCCATCCCCATGGAGACAGGTCTGAGGTCACAAACACAGAGTTGTGACATCACAGGAGGATTCAGCCCGGAGCAGAGGAGGAGGAGACAACATGTGTTTACACACAGCCCAAGTCACCAGCAGCGAGGGAGGCAGAAAGCCCAGAACAGTTTGAGGGGGTTTAAACCTCTATTGTCCATTTCATTGGAAAGGCCCCGCTCCAGCAGCATATCCCCCCTCTCACATTGCGCTGAAATACTGGTGCCATTCTCACCAGCTCCCTGGGTTTCCTTGGAGGTTTTTCACCCAAGCACTGAGCAAGCCCAACCTTGTGCTGAGCTGTTGGGACTTGAGAGATCTCAGCAGAGGATGCCGGAAATGGGGTCGGACTTCCTTATAGTGCTGGAGAAGAGTCCTGGACTGACAGCCCTAAAGACTGACACCCCCGAGCAGGTAGAGCACAGCCAGCAGCAGGGCAGGCGCGTCCCGCGTCTGCATTGGAAGGACCCCCTCAAGGGGAGGCGAGTTTCAATGGCCTCGCTGCTGACAACACCCACGAAGGTGCCAATTGAGATGGTGAAGTGTTGATGTGGACAACTGACCTGCCAGGAACTGGGCTGAGAGTCACCCAAATCACCGCACAAAGACACCCCCCACCCGCCACCGACTTGGGCTGAACTCTAACTGCCAGCCTGTCCTCAGCGCAGACTCACTCTCGACTCAGGCAAGCACTTGTCTAGCTTGTCACGCCAACAAAGCTATGGAAACTGGAGCGTGGGCGCCGCATCCTAAACCACTGAACTGTCAATGGGTGGAGACAGGTTCCTGTATCAACGAGGCTTCCTGCTTCCAGCTGAAGATGCTGAATGCACTGACTTGGGCCACACTTGCCTATCTTGTCACGCCAATAACGTATTTAAAGTTGAATCCAAGAGGCGACGGGCCCCAGTCTCCCAGAGCCATCAATGGGTACAGACTTCCCTTGGCCAGACCCTGCATTGACAAGGTGACCCTGTTCTAGTGGGAGACACCAGGCCAAATCCATGACTCTGTTGGATGAATGTGGCCTGTTGGGTTGGAAATGGAAGTGGAGGAGCTTCTGATGGAGACATGGGGCAAGGAGAGGGCTCTGGGAATGTAGTTAGCTCCTCTCAGATGGGGCCCCCAAAAATTCAGAGCTGGGGAAACCATCGACACGGGGGGAACTTTGAGGCTAAGCCGCGGTTTGAAAACACAAATCCAAAGGCGGTGCCGAGGGAGCCTTGGAAGCAGAAGGAAGTGTCTTGTTTGTGACCTGCACGAGAGGCCAGACACACCAGCTTTCACGCCCAGCCCCAGGCGTGTGGACTCCCTGTGCAGAGCCTCTCTCTGGCTGCAACTTCACCAAACCAGTCAGTCAGGCAAAGCAGAGAGAGGGAGGGAGCGAAAAAAAGAGGGAGGGAGAGAGAGAAGGGAGAGATGTCACAGAGGGAGGGACAGAGACTAGGGGAGTGCAAGGGAACTGTGGATCCTCAGCATGGGGAACAGAGTTCAACACTACTTGACAGGCCTGAGCCATTACAAGATGGCCCCCACCTCTGCCCCAGTTTGGCTTCCCTTTCAGTGCTCCCCACAGGCCGGTAGGGACACGGCCCAGATACTGTGGTTGAGATATTAGGTTAGTGCCCCTGGTGCAGACAGCAAGGGCCAAGCCTTGGAAAGTGACGGGGCAGAGGGGAAGGCACCGCTCATACAAAGAGCTCCTAATGCCTCCGTGTCAGAGAAGTCCAGGCTTGGGGCACCTGAGGGATGAGCCTGGAGAAGCAATACCCCTTCAGAAACTCACTTTTACCTTCTTTCTCTCTCTGCCACCCTCCACTCCCCTTGCCAGCCAGCAGTCACCCAGATGAGGTCAGAATGCGGGGGCTGACACAGGGTGATTTCAGTCATCCACTGGATGCGAGAGACCGAACGTCAGAGCCTCAGGTGCTGCAGAACCCGCCCCCCACAGCTCTCCCAAGGCACCTCAGTCCCGACCCACCCACCGCATCCCCAGCTGCTCCAGCAATAGGCTCCCAACGCAGCTCTGCCGATTGACCTCAATCCTGATGCAACTTGCTCTGCTAGTCAAGGTCTGGGCTCCCCCCATGTTTGCACCTCAATCCTGAGCCCCCAGCTACTACCATCTTGGGCATCCCTAATCCCCACTTGGACTCTCACATAACACTTCCGTCAGGCTCCACCTGCTCTGTGAGGAAAGAGAGGACTTTCATCTCCAGAGCCAACCACCTACCACTGGCAGCAAACGCAAGGAAATTCCCTGCTCTACCCCTGAATTGGAGTCAGAGACAAAACATAATAACCAAAGGGATGTATTCTCAATTTAATTGGACTTTACAGTGGGAATGCAGGGGCAGCGTTTGGTTCTAAGGGAGGTGTGAGCTGCTCTTATTCATCTTAACTGGATGTTCACTCTGAAACATAATGATGGATATTTGAATAGGCACACAGACCCTGCAGTGTCCGTTGGGTCAAGCCTGGATCCCTTCTAAAACCAAGTGCGGCCTGGTCTCACTCACCGTACATCTTGCCTTCGTCCGAGAGGATGATTTTCCGCCGGCCGCAGGGGGGGTAGATCGCCAGTGCCTCCTGGAAGCTCTGCTCGATGTCTGGACTCCACACCCCCTCGGCATCATTGTCCAGACTCTTGTCCATTCCCTCCTGTCCATCTTCCTGCCCCTCCCCGGGGCTGCCGCTGGCGTTCCAGCTGTTGGACGCTATTGTGATGGCTGCTCTGGGCTCCGACCCCGAGCCCCAAATGGCAACTCGACAACCTGAGGGGACAAAGCAAAGGTCAGCGATGGACGTCTCCTGACATCCTGCCCCCAGCTGTATGCACTGAGTACACTGCCTCCGACCAGCCAAAGAAGAGCAGGAGGACATAGGGGCTGGGAGGGGAAGTTCCTCCTCTGCTAAGGATACCAGCAGTGAATGTATTCACGTCAGGTGAGACAAAGGGTCCTAGCGCTGGCAGCAAGGCCCCTATAGAAACTATTGGAGCCAGAAATGGGTCTGAGGTACATTACAGCACAGCCCCCAGAAACCTCCAGCCCCGAGACGCAACCACGTCCCCTGCCCCAGATCACAGCCTTGCCCTCCAGGAACCTCCAGCCCTGACCCTGCATCCCTCTTCTATCAGTATCAAGAGAGGAGAGCAAGGCTTTACCGGGCAATTATCGGCCCATCAGGCAAGAACCAGCTGCCAAGTTACTGGCTCTCAAGGGGTAATTGCACATGGCAGGGAGGGGCTCTCTGCCACCTTGAATGCAAAGACAGAAAATAATAGAGATGGAATACGGCAGTGGTTCTCAAACTTTCGTACTGGTGACCCCTTTCACACAGCAAGCCTCTGAGTGCGACCCCCCCTTAAAAATTAAAAACATGTTTTAATATATTTAACACCATTATAAATGCTGGATGCAAAGCGGGGTTTGGGGTTCAGGCTGACAGCTCGCGACCCCCCATGTAATAATCTCGCGACCCCCTGAGGGGTCTCGACCCCCAGTTTGAGAACCCCTGGAATACGGGCTGGTACAGGGGTTCGCAAACTTTTTTTTGCTGGGATCCCCCTTGAAAATATTTCAGGCTGTGATGACCCATACCATGCCACCCTTACTTCTGCGCTGCTGCTGGCGGTGGCGCTGCCTTCAGAGCTGGGCACCTGGCCAGCAGCCGCTGCTCTCGCAACCCCCTTTTGGGTTGGGACCCCCAGCATGAGAAATGCTGGGCATTAGAGAGGTGGGTATCGCTCCACTGCGGCCCCCTGCTAGTTACACGACCACCCCGCTCCTCGCAGGCCGTGCCACTGCCTCAGAGCTCCCCGGCCTGCTGCGTTTTGGCGTAGTCGTGCCTCAGTGCAGGGATGAAGCACAGGCAATGCGGGGGGGGGGGGGGAAGCTCAGCATGGTGTCACTGCCCCCCACAGAACAACACAGAGCCTGTGTCAGCACTAGGCTCCCTTGCTGTGCAGAGCATGAAAGCCCTGTTGGGGGACCCCTCGGGGCCCAAAGCCCAGCCTCGCCAGCAAAACCCTCTGGGGCCAAACCCTGCCCCCGCCAAACTCCCCAGTGGCTTCAATGGGAAGAGTTGGACGTGAAGTGTAGACAGGAGCAGGGTTTGAAATCCCCAGCAGGGATTTTTGGCAGCACCCAGGAGATTTGGATGCCCAATTCCTCTTGATATGAATGGGGGCCAGGTGCCCGGATCCCAGCTCTGAAAGCCTCAGCCCCCCGTCTTGCTTTGGGACTCTGGTTCAACGTGTCTATTTGGACAAGCCTGACCCTCCCCCTCCCCTTGAAAGGTCACTGGGTGTTGTGTGTAGGGCACAAAGTGCTCATGGGGGCCCCCCAGGGGAAGCTCCGCTCCCCAGACAGGTTCTGCCAGACAGGCCTCAAACCAGCGCCTGCGGACTTCACCTCCCCTCTCGCTCCCCCCTTTCCTGCCCAGCTCCCAGAGCAGGCTCGGTGTTTTGCAATAACATGTTTGGCGGCAGCTGCTGCTGGTGGGGAGCTGAGAACAGAGGTGTCTCCTTCAGCTAGAGGCTTCCCGGAGGGGCTGGGAGAGCGCGCGAGAGGTCTCCAGTACAGACATCTCCTTTTAAAGGAACTGCAGCAAGCTGCTGGTTCAAGTGCGCAGGGATTTATTTTTTTTTTTAAAGTAACTTTTTTTTCTGTCTCTCCCCGAGCCCCGTGATGTCACCCAGTCTCTCCCGCTGCTCCCCCCTCCCCGTCCTCCACCCGCACACCCCCCTTCTTTGGGAGCAGTGTGGCCAAATAAGGAGAACAGAATTGGAGCAGTTAGCCAAAGAGAAGGGGGAGGGATGGAGAGGGAGGCTGCTGCGGCTGTTGTGTAGCTTCCCGGCTCCCCAAACACACACACACACACGGTTGTGAGTGCTGCACTGGGACGTGGTGGGGGGACAGGGTTTTTTGGGGGAGCATGGGTGTGCAAGAGCTTGCAAGGGGAGCGTAGGTGCAGGCAAGAGCTCGTTAGCTCAGGAGGCAAAGGGGAGCAGGGTCGAGGAGCCGCTGCTGGAGAAGGCGAACAGGGTAAAGAGCAGCAGGGTAACGGCTGAATGCCTGCCAGAGACAGACAGACACCCACGTTTCTGCACAGGGCCAGGACGCAGCAGAAAATTTCCTCTTCTTGCAGCACATGGAGAAAACACCCTCCACCCTCCCCTGGAGACACCATGCTTCCTCCCACCCCAGGGGACACAGGAACCCCTGTGGCTGAGCACACCACACTGCAGCACTGGGGCGGGGGGGGGGATACACTGAAGCTTTCTGCGCAACTACTGCAGAATATTGCAGGAGGGTCCTAGAAGGGAGGAAACGAGGTTTGGAAGGGATGTGAACCCCCTTGCTTCATAGCATGGCCACTCCCTACTGGGGGTCAGGAGGAAGCTGTCTCTGGGAGCAGGATGTCCTTGTAACTGCAGAACCTTCCTCTGAGCCAGCTGGGACTGGTCCCTCTCTGAGACAGGATGCTGGGCTGAACAGATCCTGGGCTGATCCAGTGTGGCAAGCCCTGTGTTCCCAGGAGATCCCACCCAGGAGGCTCTAACCAGGGGTTTGGAACCCAGTCTCCAGCCAGCCATTACTGTTAATACAATAGTAGCTGCTGAAGGCCCCAAGCAGAATGGGGACACTGTGGCGCTAGGTGCTGTACAAACACACATGCAGACCTCAGGCCTGTGTTAGTGCCCAGGTCTCTCTGCTTTCAGCTGAATTAGTATCCACACATGTCTTCTCCTGCTGACCCCACTAGTGGGGAAACTTCAGAGGTCACCCTGAGCTTTCCTTCCCGTCAGGTGACGACACAGTCAAAGCTCTGAGGATTTGGGGCTGGGAGGGGGTGGGGGGGAGAGAGAAGAAGATATAGCTTCCCTGCCCCACCCAGGTGGGGACACAGAGAGGAAGAACCAAGAGTGGCCCGGCCACGGTGCAAGTGGCAGCCCTGGGAAAACGGTATCTTGCCAAGCCAAGAAATTCCATTTCCTGGAGGGAGGGTGCAGGCGAGCAGCGAGTCATGGCTTTGACTACAGTGCAAGAGATGATGAATCCAAGGCTCCACCCAGCCCTTACAAAACAGCGACCACAATAACAATTGGGAAACCAGACATGCCGGGCTTTCTTTGGAGGTGTGGGGCTGCCTAACCTGATCGGGATGGGGGAGGGAGGCTGGAGCGAAACATGTCACCTTCCTTCTTTTACATCAGCTTGTCCTTGGTGAAGGCAGAGGGATTCCTTCCCTCAAAATCAGGGCCATGGCCTGCTCCTCTCCCAAATCCAGGAGGTCAGTGAGTTCTGCAGGTCCCTTGTATCAGTTCTCCAGTAATGTCAGGGGCCTCGCAGTATCAAACTCAGCTCCCGCAGCTTAGTTTGCCATCTTTATCAGCCCCCCAGTGTGGCCAGGAAATTGGCTGACCTTTGCAAGCAAGCTCCCCAGAGGGCATGAGGAGCTGAAGGCAGTCACGAAGAGCTGGGGTGAGATTTTCCCTCAATGTGCAGAAAGGTCTCAGATTTGACCAAGATGCCAGACCAAGACCAAGACCTCTTGAGCGTTAACGTCCCCATTTCTCAGGCAGGTCCCTCCAATGGTGACCCTCTTTCCTGGAGCTCATCCAAGCCTCCCACTGTCTCTTTGAGTGCGTACAAGATGATGACCTCACCGCTCAGAATGGAGAAGATACCTTCTCCAGAACCAACATTCTAGGGGAGTTCTCATTCTCCCAGGAGCTTCAGAACATTTTAGCACAGCCCATGAGAACTACCTACTTCCATCACCACTCCCCACGGGGATATATTCATCCACTTTCCGCCTTCCTACCGTCTCTCTCTTCTGCTGCTTCTTTCACTTTCCCCTCCCTTCCTCAACCTTCAGGTTCCCTCTTAAGTAACCCACCAAACTTCCCCCTCAAAACACAGACACAGGGCCAAGAGCTTAAGTAAGGGGGGAGGCAGGGAAGGCTGGGGAGCACAGCACCCCCATCTCCGCTCTAAGCAGAGAGGAGCTCCTGTTTCTATCTACTTTAATCACTGCGTTGGGCTGGATTCTCACCAATGTGGTGCGACCACTTTGCGCTGTACCGCTAGTGGACTCTGACACTAGTGTGGCATGACCAGCACATCGTAGAGGGATCCCCTGGCAACACAGAGCCAGTGAAGAACAAGTCTCCCCTGCTGGTATCGGTGTAGCAGAGATAGAGGGCATGACCAAAGAAAAGGGTGTGTGACCTAGATATGCCAATCACCAGCTGTGGGGGATCAAATTTGTGCCCCGGGCAGCCAGTGAGAGTCCAAGCAGCCTTCAGGAACCAGCCCTAAACAAAGACCACATTGGGATTTGGGGGTCAGGGTGCAAATGGGGGCTTTAAGGACATTGTAGTGCAGGCACACACATGTGCACAAATACACACCTCCTGACCTGCACTCTCTGCAGAACAGCTGTCCCTCCCCAGGACCTGTGGGGGAAGAGTGCCCAGGACTGGAAAAGCAGGGATGGTGCAGGTCAGAGCTGGTACGTACAGCAATGCCAGCACGATACCTGGGCTCCAAGGGCTGTCTATAGCCCACTATATCTAGTTCATCAGTGCCAGCTGTTTATTTGTTAGGCCCATCACAGTCTCTCTCCCCCAGTATTTTATTTTATTTTGAGAGCACATTTTCTTGCCTGCCTTCATCTCACTTTGGCTCCACACCTGTTCTCGTAGCCGCTCCTTAAAAATCCAGATAAAAATAAGGACACGATACGTGGCACCGCAAATTCCATC